TCGGAGGCATGTATACGATCATCGTATATTCATATGTTCATGCCTGAACATTCTGTGGGGGGCCAAGTGTGTGAATTGTTGCCTGTGGAAATCTTAATAATATACAGGACAAATACAAATATGATGATTGTTAATATTCTTGACGAAATGATCACCAATCCAATCCTTATGTTCGTGCCTGAACATTACTCATTATGCATTGTGCTCAACTAGTTTGCTCAACTTGTTTAAATTAGTGCTTGCTGCGGCTCTTGTATAATGCGATTATTCAGCATTTTATTTTTGTTGAAAATCCAAATCTGATAACACTTTCGATGAAGCTCTTTTATTTGCTACTTGTTCAGGCAGTTGAAGGAGTATATGGGCGTTGTGTAATGGACATGTTGTTGTCTGTGCGTCTTTGTATTTGTTTGTCAACGCTATTGAGGCTAGAGAAGCTATAAATTGGGAGCCTCATTAAGTAATCTTCTAAGATTTTCCAGGCAGGCACGCTAAAGGCATGGCGAATCGAGAAAAAGTATATAGTATATGGTATATTATATAGTAACGTATAGTATACACTAATTCTAAGAGACATAATATCATTTAAGTGACTAGATAGTTAAACCTTCGAATATAATATAGTCAATATATACTCGTCACCAATAGATCTTTCGCAGTTTTCCATATAAAAGCATGTCTAATGCGAAAGGTGCTAAACTTTCTATGAAACTAGACAAATAGTTATTGACCTTTTTATGCAGATCGCGAACAAGTATTAGGCAGTCGGTGATACCTGTTCGTCACATACTCATTTGTTTTCATTATGAGTGATTACTCACACTCCGGCAATCGCTGTAGCGTACTCTAAGACTCGCTTCGGCACATCTATAAATTAATGCCCATACGCTGGGTGTACCGATAACAATTACCTTTACCCTATCAGTGGAGGCAAAAAGTAACAAAAATACGGAGCAGAAAAAACAAACAGTAAATTGCTTTCAATGTCGATGCAAAAATTATTTGCTTTTGCTTCCACACACCTCACTCGCTCGCTCTCTTTCTGTTTCAGTTTGCTCTACCTCTCTCTGCCTCTCTCTCCCTCTCTCTCTCTTTGACCTTAGCTAGCTGGCAACGCCTTTTAAGCAATCTTAAACACACTTGGGCTTAGTTTGTTCGTAAACGTTGCCAAAGACTTTCACAAGCGGTGCTTAGCAGTCGATCAGACCCATCCAGAGAAACGGAATTTGTTAATAAAGAAAAACCCATAGCAATAGTGAATATTGTATTAAATTATATTGAAAGCGGCAGGTGAAAAGTGTAACGAAAGCTAAAGCAAAGGTGCAATAATGGCACAGGTAACACTCACGATTTTGTCACAGAAGGCAAACTATTTTTTTTTTGTTTTGGTATCAATCAATTAGTCATAGACGAAAAATGAAAATAAAAATGAAGTATATTCATTATTTTTAATTTTTATCAATTATTTGTATATTCAGATTGAATAATTTTAAACAATCATATTATTTATTAGTCATCATATTAACTAAAATAATATTTATAGTTATATTCACTAATATTTATTGCTATCTACCTTTCTACCATTTTAGCATTACATATATTTTAGACCGTACATGTACATTTTTAGACAAGCTTTAGACATGTCCACATACTACTTTTAGACCATACATACTTTACTTTTAGACCAAGTATGAACATTAATTTTTAGATCCAACACAGAAACGTTTATTATATATCTAATCTATAGCAAAAATAACTGTAATTACTCATAGCTCAAGCGAAACATTATCTAATTTGCGTTTCCTGGTTGCCTCTTTTTAGATCCAGCATGGAGAAGCCCATGCAGCATGCGCCCGCTCCCGTTGGGAAAGTCTCTCAGATTGCCAACATATTCCAGCGGAAGCCCATTGAGATTCAGCCGGTGGAGCAGCTGAGCGCCGTTGCAGCGGCGCACGCAGCGGCCGCCGCCGCAGCTGCGGCCAATCCAACAACAAATGTGCGCACCGAATCCCACTCGGCCAGATTCAACAATGCTCGCGCGCTCTTCGAGAAGCTGGGCGTGGAGTCCAACACGAATGTGAGCTCACGGCTGTTGCGCAGCAATTCACGTGAGGATAATCTGTACGAAGGCTCCGATCGTTCCTCGTCGCGCTCCTCGGACCGTTCACAGTCGCCGCCGAAGCGACGCATACCATTCCCATCTGGCGCCAGCCTCAATCAGGGCAACAATATTTCACAAAACTGTGTGGATCGCCTGAATAACAGTAAATTTATAGTGGATTCCACGCCAGCTGCCAAATATCCATCACACAATCTCGCGCGACTGAAGTCGGAGGAGCTGAACTCCGTGGCTGTGACGCCGCCGTCGAGTGGTTCGGTCAGTGCACTCTTTGCCAGCAGCGGCGTAGTGGGAGTGGGAGGGGGAGGGGGAGGCGGCGGCGGCGGCGATAAGCCAGAGAAGCCCGAACGCAAATTCAATTCGAGGGAGCTCATCGAGAAGCAAAAGAAGTGGACCTCGCACTTCACCAAGACAAAGACAACGCGCACGCACAGCGATCTCAATCGTTGCGATATCATACGCACGGTGCCCGGCACGGGCCTAATTATGGATGTGGAGCGAACACCCAAGGCGAGTCCGGAGCTGCGGCAGCATGCGATGGTGGTTGCTGGAGCTGCGAACGTTGCCACGCCGCTGCCGCCGTCCTCGATTCCACCCGAGATCAAGCCTCGAAGTGGCAAAATTGGTAGCCCCGTCAAGTCGCCCCCCTTGCCGCCCATTCCAGCCGTTAAGCCAAAGAACGTAAGTCCCGTTAAGTACAACGCAGCGACTAACAAATGCGCCGAGGCAGCGCCTCCGCCACCACCAGCCAAATCGGCAGCTGTGACGGCGGCCATGCAACGCTCGGCGCTGTTGCAACAGGAGCAGCAGCAACAGCAAAGTGCACCTGTGCCACCTGAGAAGCCGCGCAAGAAATCCATTGATCTGATTGAGGATGCAGTGCCAGTCACTTGCTCGACGCCCTCATCCTGCGCCTCGCCCACCAGCGTCCATCTGCAGGCGGCCAAGCGAGGCTCTATCGATGCCCCTGTGGGCGGAGCACGCGACATAGGCAACAGTAATGGACTCAGCGGCAGCACCAATTCAGCGACCTCTGCCTCGCCAGACCAGGCCAGCGCATCGTCGGGCCCCTCCTCACCCGTTTACACGGAGGACGAGAAGCAGGAGAATGAATCCACAGAGAAGTCCGATAATGAGCATTATCAGAGCAAATACAACAGTGTGCCAAGACGACGACGCCGCAGCGAGAACGAAGGTAGGCTTGAAATTATTAAGCTAAAAATTATTATAAATTAACCAAGAGTAAAACTTGAAGTAGTAATGAGGGCAAAGAGACGAATGGAAGGTAATCTGTATCAAGTCAAAGCTGGATTCTGTAGAGTTGATATTGAGAATTTATTATTTATATATGTATGTATATACAGCAGAAAACTAAAACTACTTATCTAGAGTCTATGGAATATAACAAGGGTCTCTATATGCATACATAATACTATAAACTAATAGCTCTTCATTTAAAATAGACAATCAATCTATATAGATCCATATAAAATTATCTACGATCTCTAGGAATGGGGGAAATACACTATCTATGGTTGTAGCACCAGCATCCTTTGTAAATGGCTTGTAGTTAACCGTTATAAAATTATATATCTACGATCTCTAGGGATGTAGAAAAGTCGCTATTTTTTGTGCTACGATCTTTTTGCTTACAAATATGTCCATAAATTATAGATAAAATAATATTGTAACTCTAGAAACTGGAAATCCACTGTATAGACTTTATTTAACAAATGTCTACTACCTCACCTGGTATACAGATATGCCCACAAACTATTTGAGTTTTACTCATTTGATCCATTGCATATCAGAACACCTTATATACTCGGCAGCTCAGTTGCTTTTAGTTCTCGAACGAGTATTGTGCAGTGGGCTATGCAGTCGCTTCCTAGTTCTCGCTCCTAAGTTCAAGCACCTCAGCTGCTGTGTGTGTGTGTGTGTTGAGAGCCCCTGGGCCTAGGTATAGACTAGAAACAGAGAGAGCGAGAGGGAGAGAGAGACGGAGTTCGCGGCGAGTCGACGTTAGATTTGTGCGCACATTGGTCGCCCATTTGCTGCCCTTAGAGGCGAGTCAGCTCAGCGTTTATTGTAACATTCTTTTTAAACTGCACACAATTCGTGACTGCAATCGTGCGCCCCCCTTTGTGCGGCTCCTTCTTCCTATTGCAGTTTGTTTTCAGTTTGACTCCAGAGGTAGCAGCGGCAGAGGCAGCGGACGAGGCGCATTCCAATATGGGTCAAACACAGCAGGCATATCAAATGCAGCCCCCACGGCTCGGGCAGCAGCATTCCAAGCTTCATCTCCTCCTCGTCTTCAGTTTGCAATGCAGCAATCTGCTATCGACCATCTCTCTCTCTCTCTCTCTCGCTCTATCTCTGTCTGTGTGCAAAGACTTTGTTGGGATTCTCTTGATATGTCCAGCCATTGACTGAGACGCCACATTTTTGCCTCTCCCGTTCCCATGCATGAAATTGAATTAATTCTAGATTACAGACCACAGAGATGCGTTACGAGCATTTGCGTTTAAGTTAGTTAAAGAGAAACGGAAAGAGAATAGGCTAGATCTGTCCATAAAATGGCTAGATGGCCAGCACTGTCTGGCAAACGTGTCTCTGATAATTCCCACTGGATGCGTAGCTCTGCGAGCTGCCTATCTGCGCAGCTGTTTCTAGGAAAGCGAAATCAAATGAAGTGCATTGAGGCTTGCAACATTTTTTAATTCATAATTCTCAAGTGCTCCACGCTGGGTGGGCGTGGCTTTACCTTGATTATTGATCACATTGTTGTTGTTGTTGAAGGCAGTTATTATGAAAGTCCCAATTAACGTGAGGCAATATGCCCACCCAGCCCCAATCTTGACTCAATTGAACCCGAGACGGTGATTTAAAAAACAGACAAATTTGATATTCCCTCATATATAAAATGTATATGAAAATATATGCCCTGTCATGTTTCTATATAAGAAATTTAGCATTAACCAATTTGCAAGCTAAAGCACTGCATTTTAAAAACAATTTCGCTTTAGATCTTAATTATAATATTCCTATTAGAATTGCATATGCCTTTGAGTTGTTTGGGCATAGAATTCGCAGCAGCACACATGAATGGGAACAGGAAAGGAGGGGGGAGCCCCTCGCACGACTCGCATGAGTTTATAAATAAAATAAAATGAAGAGGACTTGACTAGAGCAGCAGATGGGACAGAGGCACGGGGGGCACGAGGCAGACCGCATATGCAACACTAATATCAACGCAAATCCTCTAGTCTATACGTCTCTTTGAAAATATATATCGCGTCTGCCAAAACGTTTGACAGCTTTGCTCCACTTTTATGTTCGCTATGCACATATTTATATAGATATTTATATAATTAAAGAGACAAAGCATCAACGTCTGCTGCGTAGACAGATGTGTCTTGTTTTTGGTTAATCCATTCATATGCCTTATTGACATTTTTGGGAGAGTCTGTCTGTCTGTCTGTTTTCTATCTCTCTGTTTGTCTCTTTATTCGTCGCTCTGTCTCCTTGTCCGCACAGATTCGGCTGGAGCGCTGCATCTGTAGAAGTTGCTCAACAGGGCGACACAAGATTTTTAGCGTAGACACCAACCACACAAGTTAGGACTTCGCATTAGCAAGTGCTACAACCACTGTAAAGCTTTTGTCATTGTATTTCCCATAGATGGCGCCAGCTGATCTTGTACTGTAATATTCTTCATTATATTGAGAAATGCAAATAGTTTATGAATTTAGTCAACATTTCCAGAAAATATCTATCTAAATATAATGTGGTTTATTATTATAAATATATTGTAATATATTTATTTTATATATGCGTTTGCATTTATTAATTTGTGCCAACATTAACAGAAATTAGACTAACTTATAGTTATATATATGGTTATATTTATGTATAGGGCATCTGTTAGTTAAGCCCGATCTGTGCTATCATTTAATGTATACCCATTGAGGTTAATGGCCTCGAATTGCGTGGATTTTTGACAGCCACTTGGCTTGGTTATTGGACATAAGATTTTCTTTTCAGATGCTTGCCCACCCAAGCAGCATTTCCTGTGGCTATTGCAATATTTATATAGCTAAAAATTAAATACATATTAATGATTTCTGTATCTGGCGCCTCGCTTGGCAATACCTACCCTCTATTCAAAAGCTAATTCTTAAAGAAAATATATATAAAACACCTACATCTTAATGAGTTGCTTACCTGTGACACCCTGTCCGCCGTTCACCACCCTGTGAAACGAAACTTTTTGGCTGTCTGGCTGCTGCCTGTCTGCGAATCCCCCCAGCAGTGGGCAGTTTGCCAAAAAGTGCGAACAGAGAGCAAGAAAGAGAGAAAGAGAATAATAGAGAGAGAGGGAGTGAGAGAGAGAGCGTGTGAGCATCAGTGTGTGCGAGAGAGAGAGCCCCGATTTCTTGCTCATTTGCAACTGTAGCCGATCAAACAAAAATTCTTTCAATCTTACAAAATTTTGCGCTTGATCATTTTAGTTAATGTCGCGTTTCGGTGGCGTTTCCATTGATAAAGCATCAAGAATTCAAAATAATTTGATGCTCCGTTCGCATTTCAATTGCCCAAACACCAAATACATTTAATTAAAAACGAATATTAGAAACCTGAAAATCAAAATTATTTAAAGATAAATTGTGAAAAAAGTTGAAATCCAAAAACAGACAAAACAGTGTAAAAATGAATTCAATTGTGTTGTGCGTCTTCAAATGATTTGGCAGTATGAACAAATATAAAGATTTACGATTAATCGCTAGCATTATCATGGACATGTGTTCGAAGCGTGATTGAATATTACTTGAGATGTTCGATATGTGTTTAGTTGAAGGTTTCACATTATGAGTTGATTATGCTCGTGTGCGGCTACTTAAAAGTGCAAAAGATATGGGCAAAGATTTTAGATTTTGGGTTCATCAAGGTTGCCTAAATTGATAGCTCTGCTTTGTTTTTCAAGTGAATTTTTCTATGTTACTCGAATTTCACTTGACTTATCTAAGGGCTTCTTTATGCCATAGAAAATATCGCAAGGGCTTGTCGAAAAATATTTGTGTAACGCATTCAGTTGTTTGTGGCTTTTGGCATTATTGCAACATAGCAACAAGATCTCAAAATAAAACATACAACAACAACAGCAGAAAAAGAAACAATAACAACAACGCTGAAGGCAATTTCGGATGCTAACAATTTTAGAAATTCATTCTAAAATTGTCTAGCGACAGAAATAAAAAAATGAAAAAAAAAAGAAGTAAAAATGCTGCGAACGAGCTCTACCGACTGCTAAATACTCGTTCACAGTGCTCATTTGCGGGATACGCCACCAAACCGATATACCCCTTTTGATTGATGAACGAGTGTCAAAATAGTCAACGACTGAAACGATTTGCTCTCTATTGTTGATGGATATACTTTTTGGCGTTTCTCAATGGAAAATGTTTTCTATTTTATTCTATATATTCTTAACACGCCTTTTGGCATTTCTTCTGCGTCGATTCCAAATTATTTATTATTGTTTTGCTGCTGATTTTGAGCACATCTGCAAATGTGCTCTTTCGCCTAGACTTTAGCATCGTTAATTCAAATCGAAGCTGCTTTTCACTTCCCAGCTGACCTTCGTTCTTTCGTTTATTTGTTTTTCTTTTCGTAATCGTTTATTTAAGTTTATTTACTTGGGCGGAAATGCATTTACTCTGACTGTGCATTCAAATGCGAATGAGAACGCGACCTCACTCTCCCCATTGGCACGCAGTCGCCCTTGCTATTCACTTTTATCGCTCCCACATTAAGTATTCATGGTTGTCAAACTAAGACACGGCTGATTCCTAATTGGCGTTAAGTATACGCAAGGGCCGGCGCCTTCTTCCACGTTATAGCCTTGTAGATTTGCTCGTTATTTTGGGTCAGTCGACACTATCAACATGTGGAAAGTGCTTGGTCTTTTGCTTGGCTTGCTCATCTGCTCGAGCTCGGAACTCCAAAGTACCAAAGATATGGCAGGCAAAAGTTGCCACATTGCCAGAAATGAAGCCGCCCAAATCACCTACATCTATCGCTGCGTTAGCTGCGTTGCTACTAATTCTGCTTCCTATTTGGAGTTGGAGCAGAATGTACACCTTTGCATTGGAGCTCAGTTGCCCAGTTGCATGCGAAGCCTGGAGGCGCATGAAGTTGAACCGATTCGGGAGACAAACAGCATGAATATATTCCTGATTCCTGCTGGCAACGGAGGTCAGCCTCTGGTCCGTCGTATCGTGGACATGCTGAACCCTCGACAGCAGCGCCGACATTTCCATAAATATCTGTTCGTGTGGCCCGAGGCAAGTGAGGATCAGCTAAGAGAACTATTCGAGGGCTGTTGGAGCAAGCAGTTGCTCTTTGGCTTGGCCATTACCGGACCAGAGACTGTCTACGACTTCCAACCGTTTGGTGACCACGGCTTGGAGCTGACAAAGTTAATCTCCGGCACTAATGTCTACTACGTTGATAAATTAAAAGATTTGAAGGGATTTGAGCTTCGCTTCTCAATGTTCGTTAATCCGCTGCGGGCACTACCTTTGGAACCAGTTGAGAGCAAGGGCTATCAGGCAATCGATGGGAGCGTTGCCCGACTTATAGCAAAAAAACTAAATGCAACAGCCCGATATGTTAAGCCTAGTGATAATGACGCTTATGGACGTTGCCTGCCCAATGGGAGCTTCACAGGTGTCGCTAAGGATATCATAAATGGTGATACTCATTTTGCAATGAACATTCGATTAATATGGGAGTGTTTCTTGTCTCGTGTGGAGTACATGTATCCTTACTCCCGACTGAAAATAGTTTTGGTGGTGCCTGCAGCAGGTATGCAGCCGGAGTTCCGGATCTTTGTCACTGCCTTCCAGAGGTCTGTGTGGCATCTGCTTCTCGCTAGCTTCCTGGCAGTTCTTGTGGTCAATGTTGTATTGCAATGGTTTTTGGAGAAAATTGTCGGGGAGCCACGTGGCCGTTGGTACGACGTTTTTGAAATTCTCTTCAAAACACATTTAGGCCAGCCTGTGGATCATTTTACGAGAATTAGCTCCCTACGGATATCTCTCATCGGATGGATCCTATTCAGCTATGTGTTAACTACGATATACTTTGGCAAGCTGGAAAGTACCTTTGTCCAGTCAAGTTATGAGGAGCAGATAGATACGCTGGACGAGTTTATGTCACTTGGATTACAAGTACACGGTATAAATTCGTTGCTAGACGCTGCTCGCCCAGCACTACCGGAACGTCAATTTAATCAGCTAATGGCAGTCGCAAAAATACATCCTATCAATGATAGCGAGAACTTCTATACACTAAAAGAAAGTCGGCAGAACAAGAGAACAGCCTTTGTTACACGCAGTGATGTGGCCAAAGAATTCGTGGCACGCACCTCTAGCTCTGATGGACGTCCCAGTTATCATATTGTCAGGCAGTATCTCAGATCACTACCGGGCTCCTATATCCTACCGATAGGCTCAGCTTTTCGTTACAAGTTTCAACTTATCTTCAGTACTCTCCATGAGCACGGTATCTTGGAGCATTGGAGGCGAATGGATATTCTGCAAAAGAGTCGAACTTCAGGCCAATCCGACGATGACCAGACGGACCTAGACCCAGAAGATGCTGCAGATGAGTTGGAGTGGACCAAGAAACATGTAGTTCTCACTTTAGGAATTCTTCAGGGTTCGTTTTATTTGTTGATTATAGGTCATGCTCTAAGTGTGTTGGTTTTTTTCATAGAACGAGGATATTTTCACTGGCGTCGTCCAGTAAACATGGTTTAGTTTAAGTTGTCCATCTTAAGAATATTCTTTCTTCTAGTGCTGAACAATGCCCAATCTAATGCGAAATAAGATTATTGTGAATTAAAATGTGTCTCAGCCTACGAAAACTATTCGAAACCTGTCGAGGTTAGTAACAAACTCACTAATAGAGTAACAAAATAATTATATTATTAAACAAACGGGGCGAACATTGTAACACTAGAAATTGTTTTATTAAATAAATATCCGTGTCTTTGCCTCTCGGGAGGTCTGTCATATTGTTGATTAAATAAGCCATTTATGTATTGTGGGGTATATAGATTTTGTGAAGAATTTGTCAATAACATAGCAACTGGCTGATTGTCGGATTTCGGGGCTTTAAGCACCCTTACTACTGTTGTTTTTTTTATTGCTTCTTAATTAAAACTACACGCATGTTTAAATGGCATTAATTTACTGACGAAGCATTCAGAATTCTTTGCGACCTGTTCGGGAGCAGTTGGTCAATCGCTGAAGCTAAAATGTGGATTTTATTTGGTATTTTTCTTGGGATATCGAGCTGCACTGGGAATAAAACCTTTGATACTGCACTGAATCTGTCAGAGAGCAGCTGTCGCATCGCCAGAACTGAAGCAGCTCAAATCACCTACATCTATCGCTGCGTAAGCTGCGTTGCTACTAATTCTGCTTCCTATTTGGAGTTGGAGCAGGATGTACACCTTTGCATTGGAGCTCAGTTGCCCAGTTGCATGCGAAGCCTGGAGGCGCATGAAGTTGAACCGATTCGGGAGACAAACAGCATGAATATATTCCTGATTCCTGCTGGCAACGGAGGTCAGCCTCTGGTCCGTCGTATCGTGGACATGCTGAACCCTCGACAGCAGCGCCGACATTTCCATAAATATCTGTTCGTGTGGCCCGAGGCAAGTGAGGATCAGCTAAGAGAACTATTCGAGGGCTGTTGGAGCAAGCAGTTGCTCTTTGGCTTGGCCATTACCGGACCAGAGACTGTCTACGACTTCCAACCGTTCGGTGCACAAGGCTTGGAGCTGACAAAGTTGTCCTCCACTAATGTCTACTACGCTGATAAATTAAAAGATTTGAAGGGATTCGAATTGAGATTTTCGATGTTCAGTAATCCATTACGAGCACTGCCCTTGGACCCAGTTGAAAGCAATGGGTACAGGGCTACTGATGGAAGTGTTGCTCGACTTATAGCGAAAAAACTAAATGCTACAGCCAAATATGTTACGCCTAGAGATAATGAAGCTTATGGTCGCTGCCTGCCCAATGGAAGTTTCACGGGTGTTGTAAAGGATCTGACAAACGGTGAGACTCATATTGCACTGAACATGCGATTCGTGCTAGAATGCATTTCACCGTACGTGGAGCATTTATATCCGTACAATCGAGTCGTCATCTGCCTAGTGGTTCCTGCAGCGCGAATGCGACCAGAGTATCTGATTTTTGTGACTGCCTTTCAGAGGGCGGTTTGGCACTTGTTGCTGGCCAACTTCCTGATTGCTGTTGTACTCTCAAGTGTTTTATACCACTTAATATGGAAAATCATCGGAGAGACTGGTTGCCGTTGGTACGATGGTTGTGAAATGCTTTTCAAGACGCTTTTGGGTCAACCTGTGGATCGCTTTTCGGGTGTTAGTTCTCTACGAATGTTCCTCATGGGATGGATCTTGTTCAGCTATGTGTTGACGACGATCTACTTTGGCAAGCTGGAAAGCAGCTTTGTGCAGCCAAGCTATGAGGAAGAGATAGACACTCTGGATCAGTTGGTGCCACTTCGTTTGAGAGTACACGGAATAGTAACGATGTTTAATGCCGTCAACTTGTCACTCTCCAAAGAACATTTCGATCTGCTCACTAAAAACCACCGTGCGCATCCCCTCAAGGACTCCGATCACTTCTATGAGCTCTCTGTCAGTCGCCGGAACAAGAAGGCAGCCTTCATTATGCGTAACGATAAAGCCAAAGAGTTCCTGGCCGTCACCTATAACTCTGAGGTCGGACGTCCCACCTATCATATTGTCAAGCAGTATCTGAGATCCTTGCCGGGCACCTATATCCTGCCATTGGGATCGCCGTTTCGCTATAAGTTTCAGAATATGCTGAGTGCTTTCTATGAGCACGGCTTCTTCGAGCATTGGCTGCGAATGGATGTGCTGCACAGGAGTCGGTCTTCGGGTGAATCTGAGGAGTTTTTCGAGCAACTGGATGAACAGACGGGCATGGACACAGAAGACGCGGCTGCAGATACCACAGAGTGGCGTAAAAAACGTGTTGTGCTCACTTTGGATATTTTGCAAGGCGCATTTTATTTGTGGTTCATTGGAATTCTCTTGAGCATCGTAGGATTTGTGCTGGAGCAGGGATATTTCCATTGGCGGCGGACCAATTTAGTATATAAGCTCTAGCTACTAGATAACGAGTCCTTGTTGTCCTCTTAAAATAGTTTAAGAATTTATTGTCATTCACACATTTAGCAACAATTGACAGCACTTTGGATTTATTCATTCAAAATTAAACAACAAAATTAAAAGACACTGCGCACAGCGCCCGAACTGATTTTACTCCATTGGACATGAGCTGTTGAGCACAGTTCCCGTATCGTGATTTACCATAAGTTGTGTTTTCTTGTTCCACTGTGGCCAACTATAGAGCTGACATCCAATATCCAATATATATAGGTCTTTGGCTAGGTAGCTTGCCTCCCGATCCCACTCAAAATGGAGAGATCAGGTGGGAGTGACTTGAAGACGAAGAAATCCAAACACTCCGTACGTCAGAAGAAGTCGGATGCGGCAAGTCAGAAGACTAGCGAAATCAGCATAAAGAAAACTGCCCAAACCGGATTCTATAATCAGGACAGCGATGACGATACGCTTGGGTTGGAGCAAATAATTAAGAACGACTTTAGCCTGATCCTGAGCGTGACTCCAAAGCCAGAGGATGCATTTTGCACCAAGTCGTCAGAGTATCAGCTGGCCTCGCACTGGTACAAGAAAATACTCGGCATGAATAGCTTCACACTGGACGAACTGCGTTTGCGGCAGGCTTACATGAGTCGCCTGAGCGTATGCCTGCACAAGAAGCGTCTGACCGGGGTCTTCACTGAGGTGCCCGGCCTGAAATTGGGCTGGGTTGACTTCACAGAGAAGGCCGACAATTATATATGCTGTTCGGGAGCGATGGCCAATTCGGCAGCCTGGCAGAATGTGTCATCGATGATGCAGCAACAGCAACAATTGGTAAGATCAGGCGGCAACTGTTGCGGACAGGGAACCAAATCGGGTCAGTGCTGCTCCCGCTCTCTCGGTGGCACCAACTCGCGAAAGCCGCCACAAAAGCCCGCACACAAAGTCACATGCAAATTGAAACCGAAACTTGTGCCCCGCCATATGGGCAAGTCGCAGGACTCGGAGAAGAGTCAGCCAGGCGTTGCCGATGACCAGGCCAGTTGCAGTGGCCATCGCCAGCACTGGCCCATCGACGAGGAGGCGCGCACGGATATGAAATATCTGTTGGAGGCGATCAAGAACGAGTTACATGGCCAGGGGAAAAACAAACCGGATGACTATCTGGAACTGGAGCTGACGCGCTATCGTGAATTCTATGCACGCCATCGGCAGATTGAAGCCGACCGGAAGGCCAATGCGGCTGCGAAGGATCCACAAAAGGAGCGAATCTTCATGCTGCTCAACATGCAAAAGGATTTGGTCAAATTGTTGTCTGAATGAAAAATTCAAGCCATAGGTTTTTATCTTGTACGTTAGTCTAGCTGAACAATAAACTTTTTGTGTTAGATGACAAAATGGGAAATGTGGTCGATAGATAGTTGGTTATAGAGCGGGAGGAGAGCTGAGGGAGATGAGCTGTATTCCCTACTCTATGAGAAGGGTCTCTGCATATACAGAGAGTTTAGGATTGATGAGCAGGGAGACGTAAAGGTAGACACAGCTCGGCGTTCCTCTATAAGCGATTCCTTCGTCGGGTCTAGGGGAATTCTAATATATATATTTAATAAGAGAAATACAAAAATTGTTGCCTTTTTTATTATAAAAGGGACTGGGATAGATATTATATGTAAATAGAGAGCTTGTAGTTCCTTTCTTAGGTATTTATTTTACTTTTGAGTCTCAAAATGGGCCATACAATATTTCCTCTCATTGACCTACTCGATGTTAATTCAGTTTTGCATTTATTCTTCATTGCAGGTCAAAAGTCTGTGGATGAGCCAACCGTAGTTCAACAGCAGTCGCAACAGCATCAATATTCCAGCTCCAACTCTGTGAACGGATCTCCGCAGCGTGTGGCCAACAAGCGCAGCAGCATCACCGTGAATATGCCAGCCGCAGGATTGGGTCAGCGGCCGCCTAGCATCATTTCGACAGCCAGCCAGGAGGAGAGCGGCGGGTTGGACGAAGGCAAAGATCAAGGGCTCAAGGCGAAGCTGCAGTCTCCTGGGGATGAGAGCCAGGAGCAGCCAGACAGCCTCAACTATGTGGACGTTGGCTATCGCCTCAATCCCGATGGCAGCGAGTCGCGTGAGGTTTTCAGCTCAGAGGCGGATCTGTATGTGACGGCTAAGGTGAGCGATATGCAGCGCAAGTTCCATGGCGCCAACGGATTCGTTCAGGAATCCAGCACAGTCTATGCGATTATCGTGCCGGAGCAGCAGCAGCAGCAGGTGGAGCCACCCATGGCCGCAGCTCCCCGAGCTCTGTTGCAGTCGCCGACAACAAGCGTAGATGGATCGCCGTTACATCGTGGCGCTTTTAATTCACCGCCAGTGGGCGTGGTCTCGCCCATCAGGCGCAGCAGTGGCCAGCAGCAAAGTGAGCTAAATGGTGGAGGAAACGATGAAACATGCAGCACTAAAACTCCTCCTCAACTGTCACCAGTCAAAGGCATAGCGCCCATTGCCTCCATCGATCCTCACGAGGAGGAACTCAACGACGAGGACGAAGAGGACGAGCAGCTGGCCGTTGAATACGTTGATGTGCTCAACGAGGAAGAGGACGAGGAGGAGCAGGCACCAGTTTTGCCCGAACGCTGTGCACCGGCACTTGAGCTTCAAGACCTGGAGTATGCGGACACCAGCGCCGGCGAGGATGAAGAGGATATGCTCCAGCACTTGAATGGCGATGCCATTGACGAAATGATCAAGGTGCATATAACACCTGCACCGGCACCAACAACAGCGCCTGCACCAGCTCCAGCTCCAGCTCCAGTTTCAGCCCCAGCTGCTGCTCCTGCCGCGGCTATGCCGCGCGATGATAGCTTGCCAGATGCCATGACAGCCGCTGAGGCCGAACGACTGTTGAGTTCGAGGTAAGATATCGCTGCTCGATAGACTCTAATGCATGTTGCTCGTTTACATAGCGATAAGAGCATATTAGTTTGTGTTTGTGTTCGTACGTCTAAGATTGTGCTAGTGCATAAGTAAAACTATATCTATCATGATTAATCAAACATAGTTGTGAACGAGTATTATGCAGTTTATAAATATTCAATTTAGTTTGTACTTAAAGCATGTTGTCCGAGCTAATTAATTTATATTCATTTTAATACTTATTTATTTTAATTTTAATTTAGTTTTCTCTTAGTCAAACATTTTTCAACATCTCATTCTCATAGTCAGAGTGTAAGCAGTTAGTACAAGACTCTTTTAATCATGCTCTCTTCTTCTCATAGTTTTTTTTTTGGTCCTTCCTGATTCATTCACTCGCCACTTGTTTACTTATTTGGCTTTGCTTCCTTACTTTGCTGGCTTTGTGTGTTTCTGCCAGAGTGAACCTTATAGTAAATGACTTTAGATGGCCATTGAGCACACCTTCAACCTTTTGCCCAGAGCTGAAGCATCTTCCTGCCAACCGAGCACACTGACCTTTACCCCTTTTTGTTATCCATAATCTCAATGCTTTTGGCCATGCATCATTTTGTTTGCACTTTGCCGTTGCTTCATATTCATTAGTCATAGAGAGGTGTGACCCACAATGAGGCCGGACACCAAGGCCTTGCCAATCTGCCCTCAGTGGATTTTCGGGCTTCTTTATTTGGCTTTCTGGCCTGGCTGGGCTTCTGCAGCTGCAATACGTAGATTGCCTTATTTATGGGTGAGTCGCTGCCTATGGAAGAGACTTTTTTCTATATGTATAAACAAAAGAATATTCAAAATCTGATATCAACATATTTAGTATAGAGTCTAAATATAGAATCGCCTTAGAATGAATGCTTACAGTTTGGCTACTCTTTCCATGTCAATTAGTCAGCCATTCCAGTATTATATTTGTTGCTGTTCCCAAGCAAAATAATGTGCAAAAATTTTAAATATAAATAAAAGCACTCAAAGGCAGGACTCAACGAGCACCGAGCTTGTTTATACTGTTCCCATCTGTTGAGTGTTTTTCTAGCGACTCAGCACACTCGTGGCCTCTTTTTTCTCTAGTTTGCCTTCTTCTCATTTCGCTTTATGTACATTGAAACTCAAGTAACTCGGCAAGAAAAGGACTCAGCGCAGTTCACTCACGCACAAGAGAGTGAGAAAGAGAGAGAGTGGGACAGTCACACAGTACATTGAGCACAGTTTGTTGTGTACTTCGCTGTTGAGTGTGTTTCTGTTCTCACTCTTTCAGTCTAGGCAGCTTTCGGCTGCTCTCGGTCTCTCGTCGGGTGCCTTCGTTCACTCATTTCGCTTTCGGTTTGCAGTGGCCGTGCAGTGTGCAGCGACTGCTGCTGCTGCTGCTGCTGCTCTGCTTCAGTTTCCGCTACTCTTGTTGTTGTTGCTGGAATTCAGTGAAAGCAATCACATGGCCGCCATTCGTTCGCCTGTCGCATTGCTGTTGCATGGCTCCTGCAGCCGCTTGAAAACTGTTGTGGCAATTGGCATTTTGTATCGTGTTTCAGCGTCGTTTTAATTAACATTTTGTGCATGAGCGAAAAAGGCGTCGAAACAAAAAAGGCAGAAAAAAAAGAGCAGCAAATAAAGTTAAGCTTATTCTGTGCAGAGAAAGGTTTAATTAAAACGTTGTGCATACGCGTCTTATTACAATATTTCCATGGCCTTTTAATTTGCGATAAAACCTTAAAAATAAGGTGTTTAAAGCAATTGCTTGGGGTATGTGCAAAAATCAAAAATAATTCAATTTTTGTTTATTTTTTTTATGGTCAATCATTGTCAATGTCATTCTTGCTGTATACGTTAGCTGCTTAATATTTAATTGTTAACATCTGTTTGGTGTTTTGGCAGTTCATATATGTGTTTCTAGCTTGGGCATGACTCAGCCAGAAAGCCAATATTTTATATTTTGAGCAGTCTCTTGACCACGTTGCGTGCTAAGTTGGCTTTTATTAAGACTTATTGTATTCCTTCTGGCTGGAAACTTAATTTGGATTTATATTGTGCTGTAAACTTCAACTAAAGTAGCTTGACAACTGTTTGCAATATAGAACTTTCAGACCTTATGATTTCATATGCAATTTTAAACTTTATTTTGCTCATTAATGGAATATACTATATAAACTGTATGAGAAGTGCTATTAATTATTATGTCAAGTAAAGTTTTCGTCTAAATATATTTCTTTAAAAACTGTTCTCAAAAGAAAAACAAATCTGCAATAATTGTTTGCCTTTCGTAGTTCCCTTTTCATCTCTACGCTATTTAAATATCTACTTTTGCTGAGTGAACAAAATTTCACTCCAAAGTTTGTTTTTAGCAACTTTGCAATTTTTCTTCGCATTAAACTTGTTAATGAACATTTAACATAATAAATAATTAATTTAGTAATGCAATGAAAATCACTAAGTTAATTTATAGCCTAACTCCTCTCGTCATATCCAGACCCATTCAAGCCTTTACCTCTGCTTTCCGGCATTTGTGACTCTCTTGTTGCATACTTTAGAGTTATTTTAGCATATTCTGTTTTTGTGCCATATCCAAATAGCGTCATCGTTCACCTTGACTCAGTTTGGGTGATTGGGCGCGAGTGCGAGTGCCAAAAATCAGGCCAGAGAACTCACGTTTATCAAAATGGCATTGAGGAGAGCAGACAAATCCGTTTAATTTACCGGCTGGCCATTAATAAAGGGCAGCCAGACTGACTGTATTTCCTGGTATTGGCCAACACCTGAACACCCGAACAGTTCACAAATGGCTAAACATTAATTCGATTATAATTCAACAACAACATTGCCTGCGTGTCGTCGGGTCGTCCGTATGACGTCATCGTGTGTAGAGTCAACCTTGCGAATGCACTCAAAAAAGAAACAAAACAACAAAAAAGGCAAGCCACTCAATAGTGACAACATGAGAGAATGAGTGAGAGTGTGTGAGTGAGTGAGTGGGAGAGAGAGAGAGACTTGTTTTGTTTCCCGCTATTTTGGCTGCTCATTTGTGTTACAATTTGATTATGTTTGCCATGTGAGTTCATGCTTTAGCGCTGTTGTTCTTTAAATTAATTAAAATCATATGACAATGCCATAAGAGTTGACCTTGTTTTCAGCACACACACACGCACAAGGTGTGTCCTTATGTAAAGCCCAGTCTCTTGTGGCTTTCCCTAATGAGCATTGCCCCGCTCCATCAGCATGCCACGAATTGTATTCCACTCAGTATAAAAGCCAACAGCAACAAACAACTAAAGCTCCTGCCTCATCCCTCCCCACTCATCTCGCGTGCACTACAATAATAAAAATTACGCCCAGATGTTAACTGTGGGTTAACATTCACTCTCTCTCTCTCTCCCTGGCTTTTTTACTCTCACAACTACACATAATTACATTTGACTTTTACATTCTTTGCGTTTTCCATTGTATTTGAGCGCACATAATTTGTGCGTTGCATATTGACAGGAGTATTACAAAAATACAATAAATATGCTAAACTATTAGTTTATGCTATTTCATATAAAATATATATATTTTTAGTTTTAGTTTTAGCTATTGTTTACTAACTGTTATCAAATTCATATGTTTACGTTGCGTATGCGTAATATTGCATTTGCATTGCCTTTGGTATGTACATATAAAGTGAAGTATAGAGTCTATGCTGTATAAATCCAACAAAGGGGAGAGAGAAACGAAAATTTTACAATTAAAATAGCCGAATTAGCATAGTTAAATATAAACTATTTATAGACCAAAAGTGAGTGAGAGGTAATAGAGAGAGAGAGAGAGGGGGGTGAGAGAAAAGTTAACAAGGTATGCAAAACTGTTGTTTGCCGTGTGCAGTTGCGTGTGTTGTTGGCTGTGGCAGCTTACCTCATTATCAACAACATAATCAGGCTCTTACAACATGCAACAACAGCACAGTTGAGTGCTAAATGGGCATGTAGGGGTGTATATCTGTATGTGTGTGTGTGTGTGTGTGTGTATTTTAGCTGATTAACAACAAGAGCAGACGACAGCAACTTTGCCATTTGCTGGCAGTAATTACCAGACACACAGACAAAGAATACCCAGCGCATTTCAGCATACCACTATATATAATGGCAGTTAGTTCTTGTCAGCACGTGACGTCACGCACCTGGAGAGAGTGACACAAACACACTTAAACGTTAAATGCACCCCACTTACATGGCGCAGGCGACACTTGCTGCTGCCGCTCAGGCAGGTGTCGGGCGTGCAAAGTGGCGTATACGCAATAATTTTATATTCATATAACACGTCGTCTATGTGCCTTAAGCCGGGGCAAACTTTATTTTATTCATGCAGACAGACAACAAACGAGAGGTTGAATATTATTGTTTTAGTTTAGTTTAATTTAATTTAATTTTCATTTGCATGAATCTAATTCTCATATTTATCTCGATATATGTATATTGATTACTTTTACTCTTAGTTTAACCTATATTTAATTTGCATTATTCTTACCAATTTCTTTTTTGTTTGTATTTTGATATTGCATTTGTGCCGTACTTGACTGTTATTGTTGCTTCTGTTGAATGTCCTACCATGTAAAACTTTTGCGTATATGTGTATGTGTAGCATTTTGGAAAACAAAATCAGGTTTGTTTGTTAAGTTAAAGCCTGCCGATGCTGCTGCTGCTGCTGCTTCAACTCCTTTAATCATATTAATAATGACAAATGTATTTATCTCTTTATGTCACTGTCGATTGGCAGACAACAGTCGCTGCTGTCTGACGAGCAGGCCAAAGAAGTTGAACAGATACTCAACGTCTCGCCCAACGTGGGCGTGGCTGTTGCTGCCGTTGTTGCCACTGCAACATCGCCGACCAGCATCAAGAATCTCATCGAGGAGCAGTCCACAAGCACACAGACAAAGCACACACAGATTGACACTGCCCAGCCAGTGTCCGTTGTCGCCGAGGAAGAGCCAGAGGAAAAGCCAGCAGAAGCAAAAACTGAAGTCGATGCACCAGAGGAGGAGCAGGTTGAGGAAGACTTTGATTCGGATGACGTGGAGGCGGTGAATATTGTGGGCATTGGACATGCAGTGGCCACAACTTCTGCACTGAATGCGACATTCGTTAAGGCGGACAGCACAGAGACAGAGAACACAGCGACAACAACGACCACAACAACACCGTCAACGGCAACAGCATCGACAACCAGGCACGATGAGGACGAGCCGGAGTGGCTGCGCGATGTATTAGAGGCGCCAAAGCGTAGCCTTGAGAATCTGCTAATAAACACAACGACAGCACATCGAGCAGAACTCGAGAATGGTCACGAGGCCAACGAGGGCAAACATTCCGATCTGAATCAGACCTACATCGCCGGAGAGTCGCTGCACGAGTCCATCGTCTCCGTGGAGTCCACTCAGTCGGATGCAACGTTCAATCAGACGACCACCATCGATGACAGCATCATCTCCAGCAAGCACAACTCCACGTATTCGCTAGCCGACGTCGAGCAGGCAACCAGCTCGACTGTATTGAGCACTGGCCTAACCGAGCTAGACGACAGCCAGTACTACATACCCGAGTATCCGCCAGTGAGGAGCAAGGAGGTGCTGGTAGAGGCGGGCGTGCATTACTTCGAGGATGGCAACTTTTGGATGGAAGTGCCTGGTGGGTTCACTGCCTTAACAAACTAAAGTTTCATTCAGCTAATTCAATCAATTTCCCTCTCAACTCGTTCGAATTTAGGTCTGCTAGACTTTGACGACGACGACTGCTCATATCCGCCAATCACCGTTCGCAAGAATCCGAAGGTGCGCTTCAGCTCCGGTCCCATACACGTCTACTCCACGTTCTCTGTGACTGACTACGATCGCCGCAATGAGGATGTCGACCCGGTGGCCGCGTCAGCCGAATACGAGCTGGAGAAGCGTGTCGAAAAGATGCACGTTTTCCCAGTTGAATTGATGAAAGGTCCCGAGGGTTTGGGTCTCAGCATCATTGGCATGGGCGTTGGCGCCGACGCTGGCTTAGAGAAACTTGGCATATTCGTTAAAACGATCACGGACAACGGAGCCGCAGCACGCGACGGGCGCATACAAGTGAGTGATCTATCTATAATCTAATCTATACTAGATCATATTTATATATAATCTTTTCCCTCGCCAGGTCAACGATCAGATAATCGAGGTAGACGGCAAGAGTCTGGTGGGCGTTACCCAAGCCTATGCAGCTTCAGTATTGCGCAATACGTCCGGTCTAGTCAAATTCCAAATCGGACGTGAGCGAGATCCCGAGAATTCCGAGGTCGCTCAGCTCATACGGCTGAGTCTGCAAGCGGATCGAGAGAAAGAGGAACGCATCAAACGGTAATTGGTTTGACCAACGGAACTATTTAGTTAAGTAATCCGTTTGTAATTTTGTTTGTAGTCAACAAGAGGAGTATCTGCGTCGCACGCTCGACTACTCCGAGGACTCGACGCAGCCCGTGTCCGCCAATTCGAGTGTCTGCGAGGGACCCTCGAGTCCCGTACAGGTCGAGCATCCAATGGAGGTCGAGGCCACACACTCGCAGGAGGTCGAGTCGCTGAAGCGACTCCTCCAGGAGGTTTGTCCACTTGGCATTTTTCGATATCTAATATTATATTTGAAGTTGTGCTAAAATCGTGTTCTTTTTCTCTCCTTTTGCTGAATTTCAAAATTGGTTTGTACCACGCGGAAATTGAAACACAGCATAAAGCGGTAATTGGTTAAACGAACTAAGAGAAAAAATGTCTCTAAGAGAAACAAACAGACGAAAGACAGACTTCATAACATCATTAAGATTTTGGTTTTATTTTCTTATATGTCAATAATTATTCTATAAGCTGGAAGTTGATTGGGGCTTAGATTATTATCAGATGTAGACTTGATTTATGTAAACTTAATTTTGATTTTATTATTTATTTGGTTTTTTGTTTTTTGTTTTATTCCATCCAGAGCGAAATGTGTTGCTTGGTTAAGGAAGAAATCATTCAAAATCTGAAACGGAAGGTTTGTTTTTAATTTATTTGTATTTTTAACATCATTTATTCACCAGTCCCATATCATCGCATCATACGATTCTGATTATACAATGAAGTCTAATATTGTCATCCACTCTTTCCTCCTCTACCTGTAGCTGGTGAAGCTGGAAACAACGGGCAATGAGAACGAGCTGCTGAGCGAACGCTTGCGGCAGAGCGAGCGGGAGCTGGGCAACATCAAGAAGGAGGCGGCCAATCTGCAGAATATGCTGCAGCAGTCCCAGGCCCAGTACATGGCGTTGGACAAGAAGTACAACAAGGCCAAGCGGCTGGTGCGCGAGTATCAGCAGCGGGAGCTGGACATGTGCCACCGCGAGGAGTTCTACCAGCAGCTGCTGCAGGAGAAGGACACCGAGTACAATGCGCTGGTCAAGAAGCTAAAGGATCGTGTCATCAATCTGGAGCACGAGCTGCAGGAGACGCAACGAAAGGCTGGCTTCCCAGTCGGCCTGCCCTACGACAGCGCCACACTGAAGCTAACGCCCCAAATGATGCGCAAGACGCCGCCAAAGCCGCTCTTCCATAAGCTGGAAACGGAGCTGTCCGACACGGAAATCTCCGACTTGTCGCCCGACGGCGATGGCGTCAAGACGGCAACGGTTGAGCGCAAAGTTCCCGTTAAGGATGAACTAGACGCGGCCGTGCCGCAGCACGAGCTCCTCGACAATTCGGTGAACAAGACCAAGATCGAGCTGGGTGAGTACTCTCCACTGCATTATTAGGTTCAGTTCAGCTGCTCGCACTTCATCAATTCCATTTCGATTCTCGATTTTCGTTTTTGCTGTGTGTGTGGAAAATCGTATCGATTAAGTTTCGTATTGTTCTTTGATGCAGTTCAAACGCTTTGTCTCTGTGCTAAATGTTTTTGTTATTCTTCTTTTTGTTCTCTCTCTCTCTCTCTCTCACACACTCTCTCTCTTTCTCTCACATAAACAAACACACACTTTGTACATATATTGCCGCTGTCGCTCAATTTGATTTGTGTTTTTTGATCTGCTGCGTGATCGTGTGCGTTCCATATTTGTTTGTTCGTTTGATTTGATACTATCACCGCACTGCTGCGCCTCCTGAACACTATCACACACACACACACACAAAATAAATAAAAAAATTGCAATACAAAAAAAACTCGCATCGAATCACACACAATCTAAACAAAAGCCTCCCGGGGTGGTCTAGCCAATCGCCAGCTGCCATCCTCGAACGTGCCCAATGGCAGCAGCAGCAGCAACGGGGCCGGCGAGCTGCTGCTGAATGGCAATCTGTCCAAGCGCAGCAGAAGCAACAGCCGCAGCTCCGACTGCACACTGGACGACAGCGATGAGGAGGAGGCGCAGGAGGTGGTGCAGCTGGAGCAGACTGGCCACATTTTGGCAGCCAGTGCGCCCGTGAGCCACGAAAGCATCAGCCTGTCCAATGGCAATTCGCATCTGCTGGCCAACATGAACAACCTGCTGCAGAGCCATCCGCCTGCCTCGAACGCCATTATAGGCAGCGGCATTATTCCAGTCTCGAACGGACATGTGGGCACCACCACGGCCATTTTGCTGAACTCGACGTCGACCTCGGCCTCGTCCAGCTCATCGAACCAGTCGACGGCGCGCGAAGCACAAATCAATCAGCTGTACGCTCAGGTGCACAAGGATCCCAGCAAGCAACAGCAGCAGCAGCAGGCGCAGCATCAAGCGTCCGGCTTGTTCAAGACCTCGCTGGGCTCGCCCGCCGACGCAGGAGGCGGCTTGAATGACTTCCATCGGGGCAGCATGACTACCTTTGGCACGGCCAGCAATCGTGATCTCAACAGCTCGTACGATTCAATTGTGGGCTCCAATGATAAGCTGGCCGATGCGAATGACCAGGGCGAGAACTGGATGTATCCCAGCCGGCGACGCGTCGCCCCCAATGGCGCCAAGTTGCCGGGCTCCAGTTTCACCGACCAGCTCAATCAAGCACTGTCCGACCGTGAGAGGTGGGTGATCCCGAAAAAAAATAACACACACACACACGCACACACACTGTTACACAAACTATACTATACGTTCGGAATTTTGCAGGCGTCTGGGGGACGGCTCCTCGCGCCACTCCAGCGACGATTACACGGAGATCAACAAGAACCAAAGCGCCGCAGCGATCAATTGCAAAACGCTGATCAATGAGATTCGCCAGGCGGTCAATGAAGCACAGCCAAAAGGTGAAATAACAATCAAATACTGATGCTCGAACTCGGTTCGCACAGCAAACCGATTGTTCGATTATCTATACTAGAAAAAAAAAGACAAAACTAACGTAAATTCTCTATCCCAATTATCCACAAACAAAAACTGTTATATTGTTGAGAGGCAGCTATTCATGTGCACATAAAGACATTCTCTCTGTTTGCTGTATACATATCGAATTGCTAAAATGAAATGAAAAACAATAATGCTAAATACTGTTATACTCAGCTGTTATATTTAACTGTTATATTGAACGTTAATGCGTGTGCCATTTCATTGAACGTATTCCTAATGCTGTTATACTCAACTGTTATATTGAACATGTGCCCTTACTATATACTAAATACTGTTATATACAACGTTAATATACGTAATGTGCCATATCATTTAACGTATCCCTTTCCACATATGCCAAATTGCTGTAGCCATTCACGTATCTTATGCTCTTACTCTATCTATCCGTTCATCAGGTGCATACAACAAGGCATCGCAGCAATATTAACATGAAACTATTATCTCTCTTTTCTCCCTCTCTCTCTCTCCCTCCTGTTTGATCGCTAACTATTTCCACTAACCCAAATGCATTGTGAATCGTCTAAAGTTAAACAAGTTGTTCCGCAATCGCTCTCCCCGCCCGGCACAGTGCCCTGGCAGCAACAGCATCATCATCAGACGCAGTCGGCCCATGCCACGGGTCCGCCCTCACCGACGAGCATGTCGTCGGGCTGCTCCTCGCCGGGCTACTCGCCCAGCCGAACCCTGGATCTGTCCGGCTCCAGTTCCAGTTTCTCGGACAGAAAAGCTGCGGCCGCTTGCTACAATTACAAAGGCGGCCCGGTGCACGAATGGACCAAGGAACAGGTAATCAAACATCAGTATAACAGTCTGTTGTACGCATGCGAATGATTAATGATTCACGCAGGTGGGCCACTGGCTGATGGGCATTGAGCTGGAGCGCTATATACCTGTCTTCAAGGAGCACAACGTGGAGGGCGGCGCCCTACTAACGCTCGACTCAAAGGACTTCAAGACCTTGGGCGTTTGCGGTGACGATAAGAATAGGTTGAAGAAGCGCCTGAAGGACCTGAAGGCGAGCATCGAAAAGGAGCGCAAGGACATGGAGCGAGAGCGTCGCGAGCGCGAGAAAGCCATACGCAAGGCCGAAAAGAAGGCGGCCAAAAAGAAATAAGTAGTTGAATTCTAGACCTTAAGCAACAAAGTAGCCAAAAACCAAACCATATATGCATACTGGGCAGTCATAACATCTCTATGCATACCACAACAGATGCGTTTAAATATATATATAGATATACGTATATATTTATAGGAACATAACACATATATACAAGTATATATTAGTGCTTAAACTTATAAACGATAATATAAGACAAACCCCATAAATTATTTGTACAACACACAAACACACACACACAAACAAACACTTAGAGATCTATAATACGTACTACATTTTAAACTATTGAAATTAATACAGCCTAGACGTATTTATGAACTATTCTATAAAATATATAATAATAAAAATTGAAAACACAAAGAGGAAGACAACACAGACATGGTCCAGAGTTGGGTGGGTAAAGGATGCCCAAACTGACATTGAAATCCAAAAAGGTTTAAAATCACAACTTAAGTTATCCAAATCGAAAGAGAAGAGAAGAAAGAATAAGCACACACCAACATAGAAAAAAAAAAACAAAAAGAGAAAGCGTTGGACTGACTGATTTTTATGAATTATTTTTAGGAAAAAGCGAAAAAATATAAAAATAATAATGAAAATATGCATAATGGAAGAATCACTTGAAACGAGAATGGAACACGACAAAATTGTACGACTAGCACACTTAAGGAATTCTCTGAACAGACTTGAAGCGGCCTTGAGCAGCTTTAACTAAATTTACAAGACACACATAAATGTACTAACCACTTATCTTATAAATAATTCTAAATACATGCATAAATGTTTATTATTTAAGTGAATTGCAAATAGCAAAGTATAGCGAACACACACACACACACACACACACACATACACAACACCCAAACACGCAATGTCTGTCATGTTCTTTGTTTTCAACAGCAATTACCTTGTGCAATTTCTAGCATAACATTACACTACAATACAATATAGATATATATAAATGTATATGTATGTATATCTCGATAATGTATAACAAGAGTCGCATTGTATTTGCCAAGATGGGTGTACCTTTTGCTAAAGTATTCATAATTGCTTAATGATATGGTTCGCCACACACTTAAGTACTTAAGTCTCAAACTCAAACTAAGAACAACAAACAGATCACGATTAAACAGATTAAACATTGCAAAGATCTTATCTAAGCTTAGTAGATGTGCATATGCATTTGTGCGTTTGCTCGTATCTAATTTTATGCTTTCGCGTGACTGCTTTGATTATTATATTTACTTTTGTATAAAGGTGTTTAGTTTATATATTAAAAATATATACATGTATACATGTATGTTTAACATAATACCCATTTGTGTTTAATGTGTCTAATCTTGTTTGTTTCTGATATATAATTTTTTTTTGTCTTTTTAGATTTTAAAATTACGTTTTAAATTTCAATTGAGTTTCATTGACTGATGGAATTTTAAAATAAATGAATTAATTTATTCAATAGAATCTTGGCATAGTGTTTGTCCAGGCTGAAACCCTCAATGTGCGCATAGAACCGGCTCCAACCCGAATTTCGTAATTCCTCCATTACTATCGAACCGAAATCTAAATTTTCATAAATATTCATTTCGCTTAACATACAAATTAGTTTAACAACGAATTAAACAAAGTTTTGTGGCGTAGTTAAAAATTTGATATATGATTTATACATATATTAATATATGTATATATGTAGCAGAATTAATCTTTTCATTTAAATGACAAACCAAGTTTTGAATCCCTGTGGAACGCCTTGTTAGCATCTAACCCACACACACGCAAACACAATCGTGCCTTTGTCATTGAGGAAACCGTCCCAGTTTTTTGAAAAAACATAGAATATGGCCAGCAGATCTGTTCGAATAGCGTACCCAACTTATGCGTTTCATATACATATATATATGAATATATCGAAAAACCAATAAAACCGCCGCATATGCCTTAAATAAGAAATATTTTAACAATTTGAGTTCGAATTTCCCTGTCTGAAAAGTTTTCTCACTTGTTTTTGCACTTATCAGGTTTCAGTCTGGAGCAGGCAATTATTGAATATTAAATTTTATCCAAATATAGTATTATACAATTTCAATTTACTATAATTTTATACAATTTGTTCTCATTAGACAGCGACTGCAATGAATGAATTGAATATTGAAGAGGGATGTTTGATACATTTATTTTCTTTGAAGTAAAAATTGGTTTTTATTTTTTTTTTTTTTTCATATTTTATTAAACTGTGTTTGGCTATTTTTCAAACTTTCATTTTCAGCTAAATTTCACTTCTATTTAGGCAAGAAACTCAGTAAAAGCACAAAGAATAATAAAAACAATAGCAATGCAATCAACTTGGCTACTTTATCAATCTATAAATATATATATTCAAATTAACTGAAAAATGAATAAAAATTAATAATAAAATAAAAATATTTGAAAGGTGTATTTAGTTACTCTCAATAAACTTTTTTTTTTCCAGCCATAAATCAACGAGTTTTTGCTTTTAACATAAATTTAGTTATACAGCGCAGAATTAAATATATTTCCCCTGTGATTTATGTGTGCTTAGTCATTGTTACAGTGTAAATATTACACATACCTCGACAAAATACCAAACAAAAACCAAAACACCTGTTGTGAAATGTGTCCATGTGATGTGTGGAGAGATTAGGGATATACTTGCATTTCGTTACAAAATGTACACAAGCATTTTATAGGCGTGCAACGACTGCGTAATACTCGCTTATGCAATGTAAATACTTTTTAAATTTCAATATGTCATTCTGGTATTTTTAACAGTCAAACTAAATGGTTTAAAATACTTTAAATTTGTGGTATTTTCATTACTTTTGCAGTTTTATATTTAAACTATTTTTTATACATATAATTCCAAGCATCAAAACCGATAGACCCCAATTTGATAGAAAACCAATATACTCCTCTCGCGAAAAGAACGAGTATAGTAACTGACATGATAGTTGCATCTTAAATGAGTTATCGTGTTGTGCAACCTTTTCTTCTTTGATACTTTCCGATTTCTCTCACAGATTGAGTTAGGAGATAGCTAAATGAAAATCTGTCTCTGGAATTTCTTCTTATCAGTTTGGGAATTTTCCATGCCTCGCGCTTGGCCAGCCAATCGATCGTCTGCTACCTGCTGCCCTGGTCAGAGACCACAGCTCTCAGTGTTGATCAACTCTTGAGGAAGTTCCAAGAACATAGCACATAGCCGGGAAAGTACATTTATACGAACTTTATTATCAAATTTACTAGGGTGCGTGTGATAACCGTGTTCAGTCAGCAAGCAGCTTTAGCTTTTCGTAGGAATCGTATTTTTCCAATGATTGCACAAAGATTAATAAAAGTTGTTTACTTGAAATGCAAATCGAAATCAAACGGACAAATACAATAAATACATCACGATGACGTCCATATACATGCGTGAATATGTATTTTTATGCCCCCCTCGAATCGGAATTGATAACCCTGCGAATTTCAGTTCAGTTAGGAACTGAATTAGTGTGTGTATTTTTTTATTGTTTGTAATTAGAGTTCTTTAACTTAACCGTTTAATCATGTTATTTATAGCTGTTGCCAGGTAATGCCAATTGCAGCTGCAATTATATACATACATATAATCATCCATATATGTATGTACATATGTACTTTTATATGAGCTTTCACTGTTTCAGGTCTTATCAATGAATCGAATGATTTCAGCATTAAGTAAAATTTTTATTACATATTTATTCGCCTTGTGTCCAAGCACAGCTTGTGAGATAAGAGCGGAACAGACTAATAACAATAACAAAAATAGCGTGGGGCATGTGTAAAACAATGTTTAAAAATAAAATGCTTTTTATTTGGATTTTTTTCATTTGCAATCGACATTTGTGGGAGGGAGTTCGTGACAAAGCCGCCATTATTCAATTTGAAATTTTTGTTTAATGAATTTTTAAACATTTGTCACATAGTTTCAATCACTAACGACTCGCGAGTTTCTGCTGCAATATTACTTTGATATTTAGTAATGCAGTTTAATCTAATCTTTTAATTGGTGATATTATTTTGGCAATTTCCAATCATTAATTGGTTTTATGAAGCCGCTTATCGACTAGGGAGGCCTGTTTACTTATCTTATTCTTTATATATTTTTCTATTTTAGTTTTCCTTGTTATTGTTTAGAACTTTATTAAATTTTGTCCAATTGAATCAGTTTAAGAGATTCGATTCCGGTTTGTGCCTCTGACGTTCATATAAATAACAACGAGCCATAGCTGAGGCAGCCGCAGTCGCAGTCGCAGTCGCATCGCCGATCCTAAATTGAATACTTAACAATAAACGTCGACGCCGACAGCGACGCGCACAGTGACGCCAGCAGCGCAGCTGGCGCGGGCAGCGTGTGTCGACTGCGGTTTAAAAGGTGAAGCGTCGCTGACGACGCGACTCAATTATCAAAGAACAGTCGAGCAGGCAGGCGCAGCTAGGAAATTAAATCGAAACTGAAACTGAAACTGAAACGCGAAACGCGTAAACACAATAAAAATAAGGCAAGAAATCGCGACACTTGAACGAGATAACAATAGACATTCCACTTGTCCAACATAAATTAGTTGAATTTGTTTATAATCAATCTAAAAGCGGCGCTAACTAGTTAACAGCCAGTTGAGATACAGCAGAGAATCTCCGAGTTGTGCTAAAGCATTTATATAACGTTTGCTTATCTGTTGAACAAATACGCTGAAACATGACTGGCTACAGCTCCAAGAACGACGTGGCTACGGCCAATGGCAAGCAGAATGGCAGCGGCAACCAAACCGTGGAGAACGGCAGCAAACCCACGGCATTTACGCCCCAGGGGAATCATGCGTAAGTAGGCAATGGGGAGCGGGCTTTAGGGGCTTCAGCTAGGCCTGGGCATAGCCCAGTTACATATTTTATCAACATAAAAGTGCAATCAATAATATTACCTTTAACTGTGCGGAGCCTATCGTTGTCAGGGCTGACATCATCACGGTGTTGACCAAGCTATTATTATTGTAGTGCTCAAGGGCCGGGCCACCGGACCACCCCAAAATCAATAGAAATCCAATGCCCCTCGGGTAGGCCTTGATTTCGGCATGTCGTAGTTGGCTCCAAATTTACTTTTTATTACTCCAAATTTTCCTGTTGCCTGTTTGATACACAAATTTTTGATCGAAAATTCTACGCTGGGGATTGGTTTGCGGCCGCATTTCTTTATCTTGCTCTCAGTCGGCAGAATGTGTTCGCGCGATTGCTGTAACAACAAGGGGCCTGTCAGCAGGACCAGGGAGGGCAATCCCTGCGAGAAGAAAGCTCAGAAACAGGAGTCCGAAATCGTAGTGCCGACGCCACAGAGTTTGCTGTAAGTTAAGGCCAGGGAAGTCCCTCAGACTTCTCCCTTACGGAGCCCGAAGTAAACTTCGAGTTCTTTCCCTAGAACACCCAAACGTATGATCAGCTTCCTCTAGCATTTCTATATAAATATACATATGTATA